AGAAACAAAAGTCAGGAAATGTTATAAATCAATTATTTGAATAATGGAGAACAATTGTGGGTAGTTTTTTTATAGTTATTAATTTAAAATTTTTAATTTTTCCTAGTAAAGGACATTTGACTTATGTTCCTGCCTCCCCCTTTAGGAATCCATCTTTATATACAGATAGTCAGGCCTGTATCTTAAAGTGAAAAACAATAAAAAAAGATGATCCAAAGCAAACGCACAAAAGATGGTTAAAGGAAAAAAACTGGTTCCTGTGGACACAAATATTAGAATTGATAAAGAAAAAGACCATAAAACTATAACTTATCAAGATCAAATCAAATTTCAATGCTTATCACAATAAAGAAGCAGATGTCCTAGTCAAAAAAGCTCTGAAACTTCCAGCAATAGAATGGAAAGAGCTGATCTCATACAAGATCATCACAGAAATTAGATGGCAAGAAAAGATGCTGGATGATCCAATAAGATAGTTTGTTAAAAAAGTAAACAATAAAACAACTGCCTTCTAGTGAATACAACAAAACAGAATGGAAAAAAGATGGAGTCATCAAACTATAGAATAGTAAGATCATATTTGGAACCTTGTATAAGAAAGAGTGAAAGAAGGACCTATGACACTTCCTTTAAACAATTGTAGTAAAAAAGCTTCTTCATAAAACTAATGAATGATGAGCTATTAACTCTGAACAAGCTGACAACTAAAAGGTCTGATCTTTACAAACAAATAAAGTGTATTGTATACAGTCAGCAAAGTTAAACTTTTGAATATTTACTAGAGTGTCCAGTATACAAAAAACAATTACAGAAAGCATAAAATAAAGAACAAGATGGGATCCTTAGAGACTTCAGAGGGCTCTTATAAGAGAGAAAAAAAGAGACAGAAGAAAAACATGCAAGGTTGATTATCCATGACAAAGAAGAAATAGCCGAGTTGAATAAATGGATCTCTAAACTGGTAAAACAAACCTCAAAAACCAGTTAGGACACTCTAAGCTTTTTCATAAGGCTAGTAAGGAAATATCTAATTCTAAAAATGGTAGATTTGAAATTCCATAGAAAAATAATTAATAATAAGACAAGAAGATGGATGTCAAAGATGTAAAGAAGAGTGTGCAACCAAATAAGGAAAAAGATTTAGAACAAAAGATGTAAGAAGTTAATCAATGAAAATATTTATAGGAGATCTATAGAGTAGAAAAAATCAATTGATCCTCAGGCACGCACAGCTTAAAATCATTAATTCCCAAAAGTAAAGATCTTCTACCAGAGGAAAGAACTCAAGAAAATGAAAGCCTGAAAGAAATTCTACTCAAAGGTGTTACTTATAAAATGAAGTGGTTGGGTTTTAAGCTTGATCAGAATAATGGATAGTGATCTGCAGTGGTGATCTATAGACAATGATGTTAAGGGTTGAAAGGATATTCACCTGAATCATTAACAAAGTGATAAATCACTTCCGAAGTTGCACTTAGAGTTTTAGTATATTAAGACAAAACAGTGATAAGTAAGTTAGATAAAGTCTTAGCTTTAGCAAATTATTTAAAATGTACAGTATATAAATATTTAATAAAGCATATGTACCTAACCTGTCCTAGAGTTTTAAAAAAAAAAAATTAATCAAATTATTAATTAAATAACTATGCCAAAACTTAAAAGCTGAAATAATATAGTTGTGACAAAGACAAAAACTAATAAAATAATCAAAAAAAACTTTTTACATTTCAACTATAACTTTTTTAAGATTGACAAATATATACTAACAAATAATAAATATCAATCTCTTCTCCTATTCTATTATATAGATATTTTCTTTTTAAAAATCCAATTAATAGCAAAAGATGACTAACTATATTAAACTATTTAACTTATCTAGTACTAATAAACAAGACAAAATGCTTCAAGTCAAAACTAAACTAAAAAATCTGAATTCAAATTAAAAAAAAAATTTTTTTTCTATTTGCATAAAAATTTTTGAAAATTTTCTTTTATAATAACAATCCAAAGTATAAAAGAAAAAATATAATATTTATTAAAAGCTTCTGTGACAAATATAATTATAAGAAAAACTAAAATAAAAGATTTAACAGTCACTATACAGGTGAAAAAATTATTATAAAAAATAGCAAGATTTTTAAACTAACCTCAAAAACAAAACTTTCAAACAAAATTTAATTCAATGTTTAGTATTAAAAAATTTGAATAGTAATTAGAGAAGAGAAACTTGTAGAAGTCATAATAAATAATTAGAACAATACTTAAGACCAGAAGAATAATATAAAACTCAAAAAGCAAAGTAAAAAAAAAAAATATAAATCCCAAAACAGTTGCCATAAAAATTTTTAAAACTATAGAAGAAATGAATACTAAGTTCAGATTATTATTACCAATAACAGTAGTATTAATAACAATAATATCAAAGAAAGAAAAGAGATCTTGAATAATATAAGCAATATTATTAACAATAGATTTAGTTTCAAGGAAGAGTAGTAATTGAAAACTCCAGAAACTGAACAAATAAACTTTCAGAAAATCTACAATATGTTTTATTCAGATAAGGTATACATAGACTCAGATGAATTGCTTGAAACCTCAACAAAAGAAAAAATCTATCAAGTAAAAGTAAATTGAGTATCTATCAATCTTGAAACTGTTGTGGGTTACATAAGTGACACAATTTATTAATAATGGTTTAGAATTAAAAACTTGAAAGTTTGATATGAAAGATTGAATGTCATAAAATAAAAAACTATAGATTAAGACTCAGGTACTAATAAGAGAACTATGTGAATCTAACAAAGTATAGAAAGTTTAGCAAAGTTTAGGGTAAACATAGCTGATTATAAAGTAGATAGTCCATTGTTAGTTAGAAAAGTATAAATAGTTTACCAATATATGCTGAGAAGACAGTGTTGAATATGTTAAAAAATAGCTTTTATTGTAAATAGAGATAAGAGTTAGTGATATATAAGAGAAACAAAATATAGATAAAGAAACACTTATCCTAGGTCAAGTCAATCACCATATTTCTGTTTTCCTTAAGTATTCTTTATAGAAGGTATTCTCTTCTTTGTATCAATTGTAAATATTTGTGAGTCATCTGGATTATGTAAGACCCTACAAATTAGTGACAGACTTGTCAAATTAGTCCATAACAAAACATATATATATAAAGAAGCCAATTAAATCACTAGTAATTGCAATACTATTGGACAATTATTATAAGACTATGATTATATATGAAATTGAGATTACTGATAATAATGCTTTTAAATTTAGATTAGTATCTTAATAAATATTACCAATACAAAACCCAATTTATTAAAATCTGGAATATTTAATATAACTAGTGCATATGAAGAACAGTTCAAAAATAGATATTTTATAAGGATACCTTTTATATATATATATTCAATAATTAGAACCTGTATTATGAGAAAAAAAGAAACTAATATAATATAATACTTATAAACTTTTCATAAAAAACTTTTGTAAAAAAATTAAAAGAAATTAAAAATAATAAATATTCAAGCCTACTATTTTTTTCTTAACTACTTGAATAAAAACAAATAATTAACTATTCTTTATTATAAAAATAATTAAGACTTGAATAGGGCAAAAGGTACAAATCTTTATCTTTAGAATACAAAGTTATTTTGAATAACAAAAACTATCAAACTATGTTTTCGTTATAATATCTATAACTATTATTATACCTAATATTCAATAGTAAAGGAAAATCTAGTACAAAAAGACAAGATTAGTAGACTCAGATAGTCAAGGTTTCTTCTTTCTAACTCAAGAGATTACTCTTTTCTAGGTAAAGCAAATGGCTCAACATCAGATCTTCTATTATACGATGCACTTACTTTAGTATTACTAAGAAAATTTATAAAATAACAAGAATAAAAAATATACTAGAGATATTAGACAATTCCAGATAGACATAAAAGCTATCAAATATCAAGTGCATATATTAAATAAAAGAGTTTCAACAATTGAAGCAAGCCCATATATTAAGATCAAAAAGTCAGTTATAGTAGATTTTTTTTTTTAAAATATGAATTGTTTTCAAGAAGTTTAAGTTTCAAAATCTATTATCCAAAAGAATGAATATAAAACAATAACAAGAGATAATAAATAGAAAAATCAATCAGATAAAGTCCATAATAACATCAACTATAAAAGAAATTATAAATTTTTTAAATGCACCCATTGACATTGGTTATAACAAAACAGATTTCTTCTTTCTTTTAAATAACTATAATCAGTAGATCCTCAGGAAACAGAGCCTGCAACAGATAAAAAAAGAAAAGAGTGAATGTCAATAAATCACAAAACACTTGAAAAATATGAACTTTAAATGTTAAAGGAATTATACAAAAGCAAATAAGCCAGCAATACTTGAATACTGTCAAGAGCAATAAATAAACATACTAGGAATTACAAAAACATGGCTACCAAAGAACACAAAATGGCAGGATAAAGAAGAAAAATATCAAATTTGGTTAACAAAACTAACGCAACAATCTTATGGAACTGGAGTGAGCATTTTAATAACCAAAATGGACAATACATATTTACAGGTTTGAGGAATACATTAATGAGATCTCTTGATAGACATGGTATTCAAAGGAAGAATACAATATAGAATTCTAACAATATATAACACATCAAATGGGTCTATATAACAAACAAGACAGAAGCAAACTTCTACAATAGTGCAAAATGAAGATTAGTAAAGCAAAGAGCAATAATATACTTCTTATTATAGTAATGGAAGACCTCAATAATATAACAGATATCAAAAGGATCACACATCAGAGAAAGTTAGAGAAAACAAATTCTGGCATCTAATCAATACACTCGTGGCATTTAATTTAGCAAATACATATAGACAAGTTTATCAACTCAAAAGAAGTTACACATATAATAGACCAAAATCAAATATGGTGGCAGACTTGACTATGTGTAGGTCTCCAGCCCATTTACAGAGGATGAGAAAAAAAGGTGGAGCATGGGATACTTCCGTGATAATTTGGAGAGAGATTATGATTCTATTGTGGAGGAATAAAAAGGAATGAAGATACCAGAAAATATCTTAAATTTTTAACAGATCGGGATAGGCTGGTTGGTGGAGTTATCACGTCGTGGTATACTAAAAAGCGGTTTAAGTACTGTATGGCTCGATGATCTTATGGAAGAATGGGAAAAAATCCAAAGTATGCATGTTATTTATGCAACCTAATTATACTAGAAATGCGTTGATTTGTTATCCTAATATTAAATATATATTTTTTTTTTGATGAATTTTACTTAGACCGGATGATCTTAAATGGTAGGTCATTAAACCCGATTTGACATTACGTCCAAGGTTCACATTGTGTAATGAAGATACGATGAAGGTGCGATGAAGTCACGATAAACTTTTTTCCTATATAATTATAGATTTCTCATTCGTACTACCCATTAATTACTTTTTTAATCGCTGAAGCCGTCATTTAACGTTGCAGGTTCCTCCGTCAGCGTTCCTTTTATTCCTTCATCTGATCTTCCGAAGGTTGAGGAAGTGAGAGGATTTAATGCCGAAGAACTTAATGACTTTTTGAAAAGGAGGTTAAACGACATTGATAATCAAATAAATACGTTAACAGCTGAAGAAGTAGATGGTTTAACCTTTTTTAATTTAACACACGAAGGTCTTAAAGCTTATGGAATATCTCTTAAAGCTTCTACAAAAATCATAAAATTGATTAATGACATTCAAGGAAGTAAGTGAACTTATTCTCGCCCAAACTGTGGCAATAATACAGAATACTTACTTATTCTTGTGCTTTTCTTTCCTGCTTATTATTGCCCAAAAAACATTCACGTTATCGTAGAGCAACCCGTTGCTGGTAAGTGAGTCGTAATAAATTTAGATAACACGACCTTGCTGGATTTTTTGATACCCATTTTTTCGTCTTTATGTCTTTATTATGTGACATCGAATATATAATCATGCTTTTTATTTACTGCTCCTTATCCTTAAAACTCCTCCCGTAACACATTAGTTAAGAAAAAAATCGCTGATGCATTTCCTGGAGGTATGTATTAAGAAATTCTGCAACAAACTCGTCGTTCTTATGCTGAGACTGATCGGACGTACTATTTATATGCTAGGTCTGCCATATGTGATACCAGAACCTTTGCTTTACTCTACTGGTGCTGTTTGGGAATATCAACCTCATCCATCATTGAAACATATTTTGCGAAGGGAGCTTAAAAACCATTACACAAATTTTCTTT